CATACACATGTATGTATAAGTACGTATTTACATAAATATTTATATGTATACATATATTGATGTTATGTATATATATAAATATATATATACATATATACAGTATATACATATATACATATGACAATAAAATAGCAATAATAGTAATTATTACCATCACCATCATTATTATTATAACAATAAAAGTAAAGAATAAAAAAAAAAACGTAAAAGCACGACCCGTCCCACAAAAACGTCCCCGGATTCGACGCCCGACGTCTGCCGCGACGACCTTGTGGGGCGGCGGGAGCGGACGGGACGATGGCCTCGAGGCTATAAATGATGTCATTTCGCATCTCGTAAGGAATTTGGGGTCTTAATATTGCTTCCTATGAAGATTTGCGGCTTGGGAGGATTGCCTGGTGTGCGTGTTTAATTTTGTCAGTGAGGAGACGAGGAGATAATTGAATAGGAGACGACTGGAGGTACCTGAGGTTATTATTAGTAAGCCTTGTAAAGAACCACACGAAAAATCGATAATTATACCACCGAATTACCAAAATTAGTCGCTATTCATGGTGAACGGCCTCGTAGCGAGCATGAAATCAGGGAAAAGTAAAATAGAATAGAGTGTGGAAAAAACGTACCCTGTCTGCGGCGTCTCCGGGTTTGTTTAGGTTCTCGTGGCGGCGAGTTTAAATTCCCTTTGAGGGGGTGCTCTCGGGGGTATTAGTGACGTTGTATTTTGGGGTGGAAATGAGCTTTTTTTCTTTGGGGGGGTGGAAGGGAATCATTTTTTTTGGGGTGGAATGATTTTTTTTTATGAGTGGGTTGTGGGGTGTGTGTGTGTGTGGTGTGTGTGTGTGTGTGTGGTGTGTGTGTGTGTGGTGTGTGTGTGTGTGGTGTGTGTGTGTGTGTGGTGTGTGTGTGTGTGTGTGTGGTGTGTGTGTGTGTGTGTGTGTGTGGTGTGTGTGTGTGTGTGGTGTGTGTGTGTGTGTGTGTGTGGTGTGTGTGTGTGTGGTGTGTGTGTGTGTGGTGTGTGTGTGTGTGTGTGTGGTGTGTGTGTGTGTGGTGTGTGTGTGTGTGGTGTGTGTGTGTGTGGTGTGTGTGTGTGTGTGTGGTGTGTGTGTGTGTGGTGTGTGTGTGTGTGTGTGGTGTGTGTGTGTGTGGTGTGTGTGTGTGTGGTGTGTGTGTGTGTGTGGTGTGTGTGTGTGTGGTGTGTGTGTGTGTGTGTGTGTGGTGTGTGTGTGTGTGTGTGTGTGTGTGTGGTGTGTGTGTGTGTGGTGTGTGTGTGTGTGTGGTGTGTGTGTGTGTGTGTGTGTGTGTGTGGTGTGTGTGTGTGTGTGTGTGTGTGTGGTGTGTGTGTGTGTGTGGTGTGTGTGTGTGTGGTGTGTGTGTGTGTGTGTGTGGTGTGTGTGTGTGTGTGTGTGGTGTGTGTGTGTGTGGTGTGTGTGTGTGTGTGGTGTGTGTGTGTGTGTGTGTGGTGTGTGTGTGTGTGTGTGTGTGGTGTGTGTGTGTGTGTGGTGTGTGTGTGTGTGGTGTGTGTGTGTGTGGTGTGTGTGTGTGTGTGTGTGGTGTGTGTGTGTGTGTGTGTGGTGTGTGTGTGTGTGGTGTGTGTGTGTGTGTGGTGTGTGTGTGTGTGTGTGTGTGTGTGGTGTGTGTGTGTGTGGTGTGTGTGTGTGTGGTGTGTGTGTGTGTGTGGTGTGTGTGTGTGTGTGGTGTGTGTGTGTGTGGTGTGTGTGTGTGTGGTGTGTGTGTGTGTGGTGTGTGTGTGTGTGTGTGTGTGTGTGTGTGTGTGTGTGTGTGTGTGTGGTGTGTGTGTGTGTGTGGTGTGTGTGTGTGTGTGTGTGTGTGTGTGTGAAGAAGACCCCAAAGGAGGAGGAACCCGAGGGACTCAAAGAAGAGAAGGAAGTAGAGGACACCAAGGAGAAGGTGGAAGGAAGCAAAAAGACAAGGAGGAGGAAGAAGAGGAAGAGGACAGTGAAGGCAGAAGATACTGAGACCAAGGAAAACGAGTCCCCTCCAAAAAAGACAAAAACAGACCTTGAGGTCCCCAGTGAAAAGGTATGTGGAGATGTTTGGCTTTTTAAGGGTATAACAGAAATTTAGTTAGCGTTAACAGAACAGAATTAAAACTCAGATGTTATGCTGTCTGAATTTACCTTTGTCTTTGAAGATTGCCTCTCCCTCCTTGTCATCTCCTTACTCCACTGCTTTTGCCACCTTACCTCCATCCTTCCTCTTTTCTTCTCCTTACTCTGCCTCTTTCATTCTATTTTCTTCTTCGTTTTGCCTCCTCCTTCCTCCCTTTGCTCTTCCTCTTTCCTCCTCTGCTCCACCCCATCCTTCCTTGCTAAACCTCCTTCCTCGCTTGGTCTGCCTCCTTCCTCCTTTGCTCTGCCTCCTCATTCTAATAAGTACTGTGGCAGTTTAGGCCAATTTCTCACCTACTATTACCCCCAAAAAGACGCAGAAGAAGACGGCTAAGAAGACCCCAAAGGAGGAGGAACCCGAGGGACTCAAAGAAGAGAAGGAAGTAGAGGACACCAAGGAGAAGGTGGAAGGAGGTGAAAAGGCCAAGAAGAAGAGGAAGAGGACAGTGAAGGCAGAAGATACTGAGACCAAGGAAAACGAGTCCCCTCCAAAAAAGACAAAAACAGACCTTGAGGTCCCCAGTGAAAAGGTATGTGGAGATGTTTGGCTTTTTAAGGGTATAACAGAAATTTAGTTAGCGTTAACAGAACAGAATTAAAACTCAGATGTTATGCTGTCTGAATTTACCTTTGTCTTTGAAGATTGCCTCTCCCTCCTTGTCATCTCCTTACTCCACTGCTTTTGCCACCTTACCTCCATCCTTCCTCTTTTCTTCTCCTTACTCTGCCTCTTTCATTCTATTTTCTTCTTCGTTTTGCCTCCTCCTTCCTCCCTTTGCTCTTCCTCTTTCCTCCTCTGCTCCACCCCTTCCTTCCTTGGTAAACCTCCTTCCTCGCTTGGTCTGCCTCCTTCCTCCTCATGGCTCTGCCTCCTCATTCTAATAAGTACTGTGGCAGTTTAGGCCAATTTCTCACCTACTATTACCCCCAAAAAGACGCAGAAGAAGACGGGCAAGAAGACCCCAAAGGAGGAGGAACCCGAGGGACTCAAAGAAGAGAAGGAAGTAGAGGACACCAAGGAGAAGGTGGAAGGAGGTGAAAAGGCCAAGAAGAAGAGGAAGCAGTGAAGGCAGAAGATACTGAGACCAAGGAAAACGAGTCCCCTCCAAAAAAGACAAAAACAGACCTTGAGGTCCCCAGTGAAAAGGTATGTGGAGATGTTTGGCTTTTTAAGGGTATAACAGAAATGTAGTTTGCATTAACAGAACAAAATTAAAACTCAGATGTTATGCTGTCTGAATTTACCTTTGTCTTTGAAGATTGCCTCTCCCTCCTTGTCATCTCCTTACTCCACTGCTTTTGCCACCTTACCTCCATCCTTCCTCTTTTCTTCTCCTTACTCTGCCTCTTTCATTCTATTTTCTTCTTCGTTTTGCCTCCTCCTTCCTCCCTTTGCTCTTCCTCTTTCCTCCTCTGCTCCACCCCATCCTTCCTTGCTAAACCTCCTTCCTCGCTTGGTCTGCCTCCTTCCTCCTTTGCTCTTCCTCTTTCCTCCTCTGCTCCACCCCATCCTTCCTTGCTAAACCTCCTTCCTCGCTTGGTCTGCCTCCTTCCTCCTTTGCTCTGCCTCCTCATTCTAATAAGTACTGTGGCAGTTTAGGCCAATTTCTCACCTACTATTACCCCCAAAAAGACGCAGAAGAAGACCGGTAAAAAGACCCCCAAGAAAGTGGAACCCGAGGAACCCAAGGAGGAGATGGAAGTAGAGGACATGAAGGAGAAGGTGGAAGGAAGCAAAAAGACAAGGAGGAGGAAGAAGAGGAAGAGGACAGTGAAGGCAGAAGATACTGAGACCAAGGAAAACGAGTCCCCTCCAAAAAAGACAAAAACAGACCTTGAGGTCCCCAGTGAAAAGGTATGTGGAGATGTTTGGCTTTTTAAGGGTATAACAGAAATGTAGTTTGCATTAACAGAACAAAATTAAAACTCAGATGTTATGCTGTCTGAATTTACCTTTGTCTTTGAAGATTGCCTCTCCCTCCTTGTCATCTCCATACTCCACTGCTTTTGCCACCTTACCTCCATCCTTCCTCTTTTCTTCTCCTTACTCTGCCTCTTTCGTTCTATTTTCTCCTTCGTTTTGCCTCCTCCTTCCTCCCTTTGCTCTTCCTCTTTCCTCCTCTGCTCCACCCCATCCTTCCTTGCTAAACCTCCTTCCTCGCTTGGTCTGCCTCCTTCCTCCTCATGGCTCTGCCTCCTCATTCTAATAAGTACTGTGGCAGTTTAGGCCAATTTCTCACCTACTATTACCCCCAAAAAGACGCAGAAGAAGACGGCTAAGAAGACCCCAAAGGAGGAGGAACCCGAGGGACTCAAAGAAGAGAAGGAAGTAGAGGACACCAAGGAGAAGGTGGAAGGAGGTGAAAAGGCCAAGAAGAAGAGGAAGAGGAAAAGGAAGAGGAAGAGGTCAGAGAAGGCAGAAGATGCAGAGGCTAAGAAAACAAATGTACCAGATGAAAAGGTATGTAGAGGTGCTTTTTTATTTTTGAGTGTGGAGAAGGGAAATAGCATTAACAGATTAGAACTAAGGGTATGAAAATAAAAATTATAGATGTTATGTTGACAGAATGTACCTTTCTCCTTCCTCTTTGCTATGCCTCCTTCCTCCTTCCTCTTTGCTATGCCTCCTTCCTCCTTCCTCTTTGCTATGCCTCCTTCCTCCTTCCTCTTTGCTATGCCTCCTTCCTCCTTCCTCTTTGCTATGCCTCCTTCCTCCTTCCTCTTTGCTATGCCTCCTTCCTCCTTGCTATGCCTCCTTCCTCTTTGCTATGCCTCCTTCCTCCTTCCTCTTTGCTATGCCTCCTCCTCCTTGCTATGCCTCCTTCCTCTTTGCTATGCCTCCTTCCTCCTTCCTCTTTGCTATGCCTCCTTCCTTCTTCCTCTTTGCTATGCCTCCTTCCTCCTTCCTCTTTGCTATGCCTCTTTCCTTTTTCCTTCCATGCTGTACCTCTTTCCCCCTTCCCTTGCTCTGCCTCTCTCCTCCCTCCCACCATCACCTTCCTCCTTCCTGCTCTTGGTGACTCATTCCCTGTGGCAGTTTCAGCCTATTTCTCACCTCACCTTTTCCCCAGCTGGAGCTTGAAGGGGAGCTGTTGGACATGCATGCCAAGCGCAAGACTGACACCTGTGAGCGGACCCTCGTCATCAAAATGAAGAAATTCAAACAAGAGTACATAAAGCAGAGGCCAGATATCTGTAAGGATGCGCTCTTCTATGGCATAAAGTTGTAAGCTCCCGTCTTTTGTCGGTTGACGTTCTCATCTCTTGTTTGTTGACCTGGCCATTTGTGACTATTTTAGTTTAGTTTAGAAAGTATAAAGTTTATATGGCATTTATTTTATTCCCTTGATGTGTAGTGGAAAATTGTGCTTTGCGGTTTACAAGTCGAAGGCAGAGGCCGAGGATAAATTGACTGAGCTGAAGAAAAATCCAGAAGTGAACTATGCATGGCATTGGAAGCAACAGCAGATCAATGCAACTGTGAATCCATACACGTAAGTTATATCCCCTGTCCTGTGTTTGTGAGATGATGTAGGTGGTTGAAGCACATATTTGAAGATGCTCATTGTATTTTTTTTAGATATAGTATATAATAAAAATCTTTGCTGCAGATTGTTTGTTGAACATTTACCAGAGGGGACTACAAAGGAGGAATTGCAGAAAATGTTCCCAAGCGCCACAGTCATACACTATGATGCAAACAAACTGTAAGTATGTTTTTCTTTTCATTTGTATAAATGGAGAGTATTGGTAATTCTTGATTAACAGTTGAATTCTGTTCCAGAATCCACACCATGAGATAAATAATGTAAGACAAGTCAATTATTCCCATAAGAAATAACTAAATAAGATAGGTTGCATTCCTAAACCTCCCACCCAGATTCCATGATTCAAAATATACAAAAATAATCAAATTTATTAAAATAAAAGTTAAATAAATGGAGAAAAGTCAGCCAACTTGACTTATTAGCAGCTTTCCATATTTTCCTTGTAAGTTCAAAATTCTATCAATGTCGGAAAAATCACGTCACTTTCCATGTCTATTGAGTCAGGCATTAACGGCCACATTTATAAGTGACAAGCAGAGGTGGAGAGGCTAGATAATAAGTAATCGTGGACACTTTATTCTTTATGCGAATGATATGCTGATGAACTACTTAATTACAGCTTCGTCAACCTGGCCTTCTCAACCAAGGAAGATGCTGAGACAATCTTCAGAGAATCCGAAAATCTGAAGCTAAAAGGTGTGGGGATCATTGTACTTTTCGGCAAATATGGCTACAACTGGGAGCGGGAACCCAGAAAAGGAACTAGTAAGGACGATATTTTCAGTTCTTTGGTATGGAAAGATGAATATTGTTGTGCAAAATATTGTTAGAAGTTGACTTTCATTTTAGGAATGTTGATCATTAATATAAATACTCATTTATTTCAGGAAAGCAATTGAAACCTCCAACGGATTGAAAAGTATAAACGAAAATGAAGAAGACTTTATTTGTATTTTGTATGAATGAAAGTTAAACTTTGACATGTGTTTGTTTTTAACCTCTTTTATTAACTTTTGAAGTAAAAGGCATTCTCCAATACCTTGGACCTCAGCCCTTGCCTCAACAAATTTTGTCTTTTCTTCTCCTCCTTTCCTTTCTCTCCTTCAGCCTCTTCTGTCCATTTGTCTTAATCATTAACTCATTTTTACCCTTTTCGCCACAATACTTTATCATCATGCTATACCTAGGGGCTTCACCCACAAGCCCTACCCATCACTGTATTTTGAACAGGCTAGATATTGAAGCAGCAGAAAGTAAACAAATAACTATAAAGGCAATGATCCTAACAGACAGGCCACTCTACTACATTGCACAATATTTAAGCACCTACACAGATCATAAACCTACTTTGCCATATAACAAATTATGTAAACAATACTAGTCATCATCCATGCTTTACTGGAGCCTGTATCTCTGCTTTCTCTTGCCTATCCTCCCTTCACCAACCTCCCAACTTGTCAGACATCCTTACAGACCACCTGTTCTTCCTCAAATATATACATATCCTTCACTTGATCAAATCCCTCTTGCTTAATCTCACCTTCACCCATTCCCTCCATGCCTGCTGTACCCATCTTTACCCTTTCCAATACTACTACTGCATAGAGTGTTGACGTATAGTAACTAATCACAAATTCAATCCCCCTCCCTACCCCTTCTAATACTAAACCTCCCTATAGTGCTACATGACCTTAGATGTCTGGCACATTTATTTTTTGTTTTTTACCATTAACCAATACTTGTTAATCGTAAAACAATTATTGCGTGATTAAGTAAGCAATGAATAATAATATGAACCATTGGAAGACATTTTTAAAATGAAA